GATGATTATAGATAATGTATAGATGATTATAGATAATGTATAGATGATTATAAATCATGTATAGATGATTATAGATTATGTATAGATGATTATAGGTGACGTATAGATGATTATAAATCATGTATAGATGATTATAGGTGCTGTGCTGGTGAAAATGGTGGTTTTGTGTCTCTTTGTGGTGGTTTCAGTACTTTCGGTTTGTTTTTAGTTTGTTCAGACACATTCATCAGGTGTTGTTCTGGCAGGTATCAGTGATCACGTTTAGAGCTGACAACATTATTTCATCAACAGTATGTGGTCAGGTAATCAAAAAAACCTTAAAGTGATAACAGAAAATCAAAAGACATAAAATGTAGTTCAATACACACCCTTTGAAATAATTACCTTTCCTCCACTGAGAGCTGGAGACTGTCCATCCAGAAGCACTTATTGATCAGTGAATGTCAGAGGTGACCAGAACTAGATCATCTACATGTCAGAGTCTTATCTGTTCATCATCATGACTGTTTCTTTCTGTCTTCAAATGTTTTTCTGTCGTTTTAAGGTCACTGCAGAAACTCTATCAGTCTGATTGATAATGACAGTATTGATCAGCTGATTGAACTCTACGTGTAAACAGTTGGTTTGTTCTGAAAGTTTTTTCTTCTTCTGTGTCGAAACAGGAAACGACCAAATCTGCCAAAAGCAGCACGAAGAACAGTAACAGCGGCGCCAAGGATGCGGCGGCGGAGAACTCTGAGGAGGTGAGGTCACATGACGTCTGCAGGACCAATCAGGACGCGACTGCTGCTGTTCGCTGTCACAGAGTTTTAAACGAACTCACGAAGGTTTCTGTGATCCTGCTGACAAACCTGTACAACGACATTTTCAGTTTTCATAATCCAAAGAAATGAAAACGTAATAAAAGTCAGTGTAACTGTGAGCTGCTGGGTTTGGTTCAGTTGTTGGAAGCTCAGGTCAGACTGAGGCAACAGCAGCAACTCTTATTGATGGATTAGGGTTAGGGTTAGACCCTGATCAGTACACAACAGCCTGATCAGCTCCAACACTCCACTGATATCTGCTGTTTCACACCAGTTCTGTGGGATTCATCCATATGTTCCTGAAGGAACAGGGGTCCTCTGCTGTGGGTGTTGGTGCTTCAGTTGAACACTGTTTCTGTGGCTGTGAACTGTGTAACTGTCAGCTTTGTTGTGTTTCAGCAGCAGCAGCAGCAGAGCGGCAGTAAACGTCCCAGTAACAGCACGCCTCCTCCCACTCAGCTCAACAAGATCAAATACTCTGGAGGACCTCAGCTGGTGAAGAAGGAGCGTCGCCAGAGCTCATCTCGCTTCAGCCTGACCAAGAACAGGGAGCTGCAGAAGTTACCTGCCCTCAAAGGTAACCTAAAGCCGATTTTAACACTGAGAGGACAGAACTCAGTTTAACGGATCTTCTTCCTGATTAATACTGTGGAGACCAGAGGAGGCGTCACTCAGACTGCAGCTCATGGTGGCAGCAGAGAGCATTGTGGGAGTTTAGCAGCAACGGGACCATGACAGAGACTCTGAGGAGGTTCATGACCTCCAACCAGAAGTCCTCTTTACAACAAGGTTCCACCTACAGACCATTAGGGAACAGACTGCAGACAGTTTGTTCTTCACACACCACACAGATATTCAGTTGTCAAGCAGATACACTGGACTGATTTTCATAACTGTAGTGTTCAGTTCTACAGTTTCATTAGCAGACGCTTTTATCCAAAGCGACGTACATCTGAGAGCAGACACAACACCAGCAAGGATCTGGTGAGGAGAAATCCACCTGGACCAGAGCCATAGACCAGGTTCAGGTGTGTTATGGCGTTGATGCCAGTAGCAGGCTGTAGGGAGATCATCTACTGGAGGTGTGTCTCATCAGCAACATGGAATCAGACTTAGACTCTGTATCAGTAGATATTAAGGTTTAAGTTACTCAGATCAGTTTAGGGGTTAAAATGTGATCAGAACGTCTCTACGTACTGCTGATGACGTTTTTCATGCATCAGTACGTTCTGCTGGTACAGAAGGAGCACCGTTATGGATGACAACAAGGTGCCTCCAACAGACACTGTAGGAGGAGAGTTGTTGAAGACGGTCAGCCCTGTTCAGTCATTCAGCCAATCAGCTCTGACTGCCCTCCCTCCTCAGATGCGCCGCCTGTGGATCGGGAGGAGCTGTTCGTGCAGAAGCTGCGTCAGTGCTGCGTTCTGTTCGACTTTGTCAGCGACCCGCTCAGCGACCTCAAATACAAGGAGGTGAAGAGGGCGGGGCTTAACGAGATGGTGGAGTACATCACGCACAACAGCGACGTGGTGACCGAGTCCATCTACCCTGAAGCCGTCATCATGGTGAGAACCACAGAGCAGTCCAGGTACAGCTACACAGAACAAACACTGACAGCTGCTTGTCTTCAGTTTTCAGTGAACTTGTTTCGGACTCTTCCTCCGTCCTCTAACCCGACCGGAGCCGAGTTCGACCCCGAGGAGGACGAGCCGACGCTGGAAGCGGCCTGGCCTCACCTGCAGGTACATCCGGTCTCACCTGGTCATGCAGGTGTATGAGCATATGTGATGGTTTTTTGTAATAACACTATAAATTGTGATAGAAACGTCTGTGTGGCCACAAATCAGTGTTCAGTCTGTCTGACCATCAGCACGTTCCAGGTAATTAGACCCAAAGTGCTCGTGATTCCACATAAACAATATTTTATATCAAGAAGAGAAACGGTCAACCTTATTTAAATTTTCAGCATCTGATCTGTTGTCCACAGTAAACAGCTGAGTGGTTCTGTTTGTGGTCAAGGCCTCAGCAGAGCTTTGACTGATAGATTATAATCACATGTTGAAGAGTCTCCCAAACCCCTTCTCCACCGAGCTGGTTCCAGTGTCTCTGGTCCGATCACAGATGTACTGGAATGAGTCCCGGGACACACGGAAGTTCTGCACAAACTGTTGAAAGCCGGTCCAACTGTGTCCCAGCAGCAGCACCACAGTGGTGGAGAACAGGACTGTTATAGCGTCGGTATTTAGCTTAGACATGAGGTGTTCTTCAGCTACACGCTGTTTGTTCTGCTCATAGGAAAGACCTCATGAGAACAGATCACTGGGTTTCATCCTGGACCGATCTGACACCAGAACCTCCTGGTCTACCCTTTATAAAGTCATCTCTGGTCTCACACCGGTCTGAGCATCGCGGCCTCCAGCAGCAGCTAGCGCAGCCTGCTATGTGGGGCGTTCAGGGAACATCGTAAACTGTAGCGTCTATGGATAAGAACATGTTCAGCAGGTCACATGTTCTGTCTGTGACCAGGTGGGAAGTGTAGTAACAAAGTCCGTCTGGACTCCTGTGTGGACTCTGTGAGGCGCCAGCGTTGTTCGGTAAACATATGCAGTGACGTACGGTTCTGACTGGGCTCCTGGCTGATGGAGAAGCAACCGGTTCTTAGACTGGAACCAACTAAGCACTGGAACCAGCACCTGGTGCTTCTTGGTGGAGAAGGTTATCAGAGGTTTGTTGGACTGTTAGGAAAGGAAAAAAATGTAAACAAAATGTCTGAAAAATACTAATAACAGGCCAAGACAGATGAAAGATGTTAATAAACATACCAAAAAATAGATCAGGTTGTCCTGAAAATGTTAATAAACTGAAATTAGGAATAAAATGTCTGAAACTTTTTAAATGACAGTTATTTATAAAATGTTTGACAGATACAAATAACTGGGAACCTATATCAACAACATGTCTTAAAGACATTAATAACATCATTTTGTTTATAAAAGTGACTAAAATGATTATAAAATATTACCAAAATGTGAGAAAATACGTGAATAAAATGTCTGTAAAACATTTAGAAAACACTGGAGGAAATACTAACAACATGCAAATATATTCTGGATATTTTTAAATCCAGGATCTAGAACAGAACCGGCTGTCAGAACCAAGCCATAGCTGTTGTACCTCTAGAACCCAACATGTGTGTGTTTGTGTCCACAGCTGGTGTACGAGTTCTTCCTTCGGTTCCTGGAATCTCCAGACTTTCAGCCAAATGTCGCCAAAAAATACATCGACCAAAAGTTTGTTCTGTCGGTAAGACGCAACCTGCTCAAGTGTCCAGGTGTCTGACTTCAGGTAGAACAGGTTAAACAAGTGGAACATGTAAAACAGGCGGAACAGGTATAACGGGTGGACCATGTAGAACAGGTGGAACAGGTAGAACCCTAACTGTTGGTACCTGTGTTAAAGCTGCTGGAGCTGTTTGACAGCGAGGATCCCAGAGAGAGAGACTTTCTGAAGACCATCCTCCACCGGATCTACGGAAAGTTCCTCGGCCTGCGAGCCTACATCCGCCGACAGATCAACAACATCTTCTATAGGTTAGAACCTGCAGAACCACAGTAAAACATTAAGAATGTCAGTAGAACCCAAAAGAACCACAGTGACCATAAACTCTCAGCTGAACCTAAAACTCCTAGTTGTGTCTGACTGGTTTGGGTGTTCTGCAGGTTTATCTATGAGACAGAACATCACAATGGGATCGCAGAACTGCTGGAGATCCTGGGCAGGTAACACACGAACACACTCTGTGTAACACACTCTCTGTGTAACACACACTCTAACACACTGTTTTGTGTTCTCTCAGTATAATTAACGGCTTCGCTCTGCCACTGAAAGAAGAACACAAAATGTTCCTAATCCGAGTTCTGCTGCCACTGCATAAAGTCAAGTCTCTGAGTGTTTACCATCCACAGGTAACTGTTACTGTCTGTTACTGTTACTGACTGTTACTGACTGTTACTGTTACTGACTGTTACTGACTGTTACTGTCTGTTACTGTTACTGTCACTGACTGTTACTGTTACTGTCACTGACTGTCACTGTGGGTTCTGGTACTGATGGTGGGTTCTGTGTTCTAGCTGGCCTACTGTGTGGTCCAGTTCCTGGAGAAGGACAGCAGCCTGACAGAGCCTGTGAGTATCCTGCTGAGACTGTTTCCATGACAACATGAAACCGATGATGTTTGGTCTCCATAGTAACACATGGAGGGCAGCATCCATGTTCAGCCGATCAGTAAACAAAACTCCTGGTTTTAGTCCGGTTGTACACAGAATGTTTCAGTGCTTCAGCCGAACTGTTGGCCCCGCCCACTTCAGGAAGAAGACTCTCTCTGTTTGTGATTGACCCTGCAGGTGTTGTAGAATGACCTCTGCCCTGCAGGTGTAGTAACGTGACCTCTGACCCTGCAGGTGATCATGGGTCTGCTGAAGTTCTGGCCAAAGACTCACAGCCCGAAGGAGGTGATGTTCCTGAACGAGCTGGAGGAGATCCTGGACGTCATCGAGCCGTCAGAGTTCGTCAAAGTCCAGGAGCCGCTGTTCCGACAGCTCGCCAAGTGTGTCTCCAGCCCCCACTTCCAGGTACCAGAACCAGGACTACTGCATGAACTTCAAACACATCTTCGACCAGAACCTGAACATACACTACTTTGTAAGTCTTAACCAGAGCCAACCTGAATGACATCAGAACATTAACTTCAGCTACAACTAGATCCAGAACCTGAAACAGAACTAGGACCAGAGCTAGACTTGGATCAGAAGCTCAGTTACAGCCGGTTCAGAAACTGAACCTCAGTCAGAACCAGACTGAAACATAGTCACAATTTGAAGCAGAACCAAAAGCTAGAACTCGTCTAGAACTTAAAAATATTATGTGAACTTCAACCAGAACCTGCAACTAAAGTCCCTGAACCAAAATCTGAAATATAACTGCAGCTACAACAAGAACCTAAAACAGAACCTGAGTCAGATTTAACTGTGAGACTAGAACCTGAAACAGAACTAGAACTCAGCAACACTAAGATCAGGAGAAAATTACAGATTCAGTTAGAACCCAAAAATGGCTGCAACCTGAACAATATACATAGTCTGACCCAGAACAGGAGCCTGTCTGGAGAAAAATGGGACCCTCTGCCAGAACCTGCAGCTAAACTCCTTGAACAGAATCAGAACCAATAATAGCACTAGATCGTGAACTTAAAATACTACGTGAACCTCCAGCACAACCTGCAGCTGAACTATTTTAACCAGAACAAACTCAATAAGAACAATGAGCTTCAACCTGCCAGCAGAACGGCTGTGAGGATGAGGATGAGGATGATGAGGGTTATGATGATGAGGATGTTGATGATGACGATGAGGATGATGATGCGGGTGATGATGTTGATGATGATGATGAAGATGAGAGTGATGATGGTGATGCGGATGATGAGGATGTTGATGATGAGGGTGATGATGATGATGAGGATGATGAGGAGGATGTTGATGAGGGTTATGATGAAGATGAGGATGTGATGAGGATGAGGGTGATGATGTGGATGATGATGACGATGATGATGAAGATGATGATGATGAGAGGATGATGAGGATGAGGGTTGTGATGATGAGGATGTTGATGAGAATGATGATGATGAGGATGAGGGTGATGATGATGAGGATGTTGATGAGGATGATGAGGATGACGGTGATGATGATGAGGATGTTGATGAGGATGATGATGATGAGAGGATGAGGGTTGTGATGATGAGGATGTTAATGAGAAGGATGATGATGATGATGAGAGGATGATGAGGGTGATGAGGATGAGGATGATGATGAGGATGAGGGTTGTGATGATGAGGATGTTGATGAGGATGATGAGGGTGATGATGATGAGGATGTTGATGAGGATGATGAGGGTGATGATGATGAGGATGTTGATGCGGGTGATGATGGTGATGTTGATGAGGATGAGGGTGAAGATGAGAGTGATGATGACGATGATGCGGATGATGAGGATGAAGGTGATGATGATGTTGATGGTGCTGTGTGCAGGTGGCAGAGAGAGCTCTGTATTACTGGAACAACGAGTACATCATGAGTCTGATCAGTGACAACGCTGCGAAGATCCTCCCCATCATGTTCCCCGCCCTCTACAAGAACTCCAAGAGCCACTGGAACAAGTAACACACACACACACACACACACACACACACACACACACACACACACACAGTGGTCAGGTTTATCCAGCAGCTCGTCCTCACAGAGACAGAGAAAGCAGCATGTGTGTGATGTGCTGAGTCCTGCTGGGTTTTCAGTGTTGATGCTAAGCTAAGCTAAAGTCCAGGCTGCAGCTGTGTGAGTGTCGGAGCTGAGCTAAACTCTTGTTTGTTTTCCTCCTCAGGACGATCCACGGTCTGATCTACAACGCACTGAAGCTCTTCATGGAGATGAACCAGAAGCTGTTTGATGACTGCACGCAGCAGTACAAAGCTGAGAAACAGAAGTAAGACAGCTACACGAACAGAACTTTTTACTGTTGGTCACAGTCGGTCACAGCGAACCAGTTGTATTGAAGAGGGAAGTTTTGCTTTTCACAGAATTTGGTCAGAACTAATCACTTGCTTTTGGAGAATTTTTGGTGCGACCCGTACAGCTGTGAACAAAAGTTTCCATCCGCTTGTAAAGATCAAGTATGACAAGTCAGTCCTGAGTTTCCAGTGACTCTTAGAAGTCTGAATTTTCTGTGACGGAATCATTGGAAACATGAATCTTTGTCAAAAACAATCATGTGTTTTGGTTCTTTCATAGATTTATTAAAGGTCTTCTGGAAACTTCACAAAACCTGTTGGATCATAAATATTCATACAGAGATGTTAATATCTGGTTAAAGGTCCATGTTCTCCTCAGTCGGGTTCCTCTGGTTCCGTCCACCAGCTTCTGGTCCATCTCTGACTCCTCTGGACAGAACCGCTGCAGTTCAACTGATGTTGTCGTCTTTCTGACTCAGACTTGTTCCTTCAGCGGTCCACAGGTTCTGGATGGTTCCAGTCAGGACTTTGGGGAGACCAGTCTAGAACCTTCATTCCAGCCTGATGGAACCATTTCTTCACCACTTTGATGTGTGTTTGGGCTCATTGTCTGGTTGGAACATCCACCTGTGTCCAAGATCAACCTCCTGCTGATGGTTTCAGGTTCTCCTGAACAACGTGGAGGTGATCCTCCTTCTTCATTGTTCCACTGACTTTGTGTAAAGCTCCAGGTCCACTGGCAGCAGAACAGAACCAGAGCATGATGCTGCCACCTCCATGCTTGATGGTAGGTTTGGTGTTCTTGGGGTTAAAGACCTCACCTTCTCNGGACCACGCCCCTCTGAAGGGACCACGCCCCTCTGAAGGGACCACGCCCCTCTGAAGGGACCACGCCGCGCTCAGTGTTTGTATTTCAGTATTTTTTATTTGTTCATTCTTGTCGTTGCTCTTCTTCCCGCCGTCTGTGGGCGTGTCTTTCACAATCAGTGACCATTCCAGTGGTGGGGAAGCCCCGCCCACGTCACTCACTCGCCGCTGGACAAAATGGCTGCCAGAGTCTATTTTATGAAATGAAGAAACTGAATTTTGTTTTCATTCAGTTTTTGACTTTCAGCTAAAACAGTCGAGGCATAAATCAGCTGCTGAACCACACTGGTTTGTGGTTCGGCTCAGGTCCATTCGATGTTCAGAACGACAAACTTCACGTCTTCAAAGTATATTTGAGGACATTTTACTTTGAAGAAGCTCAAATTAAAAAACAGTTTGTTTTTGTCCAGGTGCGACTGAGCGATCAAAGATTCACCCGATCGATCGATCGATCTGTCCACTCGAGTCGTGACACTAAAACCTGAACGCTGCTTCCCATCATCATGTACATATGTTTAATTAGGTCGAGCATTACGTAGTATGAAAGTCTGATTTTGTACAGATGTTCATGTATGTACAGAACAAAATAAAAACAAATCCAGTCGACTCCATTGATCCGTTTGTTTCTTTCACACAGTCAGAAGTCAAACATTCAGCGTTTGACACTGAAAGTTTTGTTTCTTCAGTTCATCAATCATTTGGTAAAACTGATGTTCGATTCTTTTCCTAAATCACAGCAGATTAATCACATCTTTAAATCTGAATATTTGTTGATTTTATGTATTTAAGCCGCCTTTAGCCCGTCACATCAACTGATCCGTTTCAGGTGGAAAGTAAACACACGACAGGTTCAGCTTTGTGACGGTAAACTGACTATTTTGAACAAATGGAGACAAATAAGAAAAATCCTGATCAGGGGTCTGACTTCAAATCAATAACGGCTCAGTTCTGTTTCCTGTCAATTATCAGCTGGTTTATAAAGCAGAGAAATTATTTAATTAGTCAACAGTAAAAACAGTTTCACGTTATTGATTGAACAGAGAAAATCATCTGAAGAGTTATTGACTATTGATCTATAATTCTATGTACAAACATTAAGCTCCACCTTCCCACAATTCACTGATCACATGACTTATTCAGCTGCTCTGATTGGACGTTTGTACAAATTTGAATCCTCTGGGAGAAACAAAACATTGAAGCAGGAGGAGCTCAGCATCAGGTGACCTTTCACAGGTGAGTTTAGGCACCTGGGGTTTACCTACATCATGACTGCTCCTGGAGGGGCCGTGCTGCATTCAGGGCCCCTAGAGTCTGGTCATGCTGCTGAAATTGTCATGGTGCATTCAGGGTCAAGTGATATAATTTAGACTATAGTGGTGCTTTCAGGGTCCAGGACGATGTTGAAGAGGTGGTGCGTTCAGGGTCCAGGACGATGTTGAAGAGGTGGNAGACTCCTGTGACTCCTCTGAAGGAGCTACTAGAAGGAGACTAGTGATGCAGTCTGCAGGAGAACTGAGACGTGGAGAAGACTTGTTTCCCATCAATGAGCCAAAGCTCCACAGAAATGGTTTGAAGACATCAAGGTGAAGTTCTGGAGGCCCAGTCAGAGTCCAGACCAGCTGAGAATGCCTCTAACTGTTGATGTCACACTGAAATGAATCGACCCAGACTGAATGTTGAACAGCAATGAAAAGAGAAAAGGTGCAGGAATGACTTGGTTCTATGAACTTTATGGGAAGTAACCCTGAATGTTGAAGAAGCTTCGTTCTCTGTTTACTTTCAGAGCAATAAGCTCCACCCCCTTCGCCCAGGACTCCACCCACAGGACCAGGTGAGAGAGAGAGAGAGTGTGTGTGTGTGTGTGTGTGTGTGTGTGTGTGTGTGTGTGAGACATAAACCTATGTTGTGTGTCTGCAGTACCTGTTGTACAGTGATGCTGTAGCTGTGTACTCGATGGAAACAGAGACTCCAACAGCTGAAGACATTCAGCTGCTCAAGAAGACTGTGGAGACTGAAGCCTCACAGGTACACAACCACACAACAACCACACAACAACCACACACAACAACCACACACAACCACACACACAACCACACAACCAGGCATGTGTTGTGTGTCTTTGCATCAGTTTGTTTTGTCAGTCAGAGAATCAGTCATGAATTGTGTTTTTGCCATATTTGAATTTTCTTGTTAGTTTTTTTTAATAGTTTTTTTTTCTTTAAATTTTTTCATGTTTTTACTCTTTGTTCATTTTTTCTATTTCTAATCTCCACTGCTGTTAATGTGATTCGTTTTTCTCAAAATTCATCAATATTTTCATTTTTGCTCACATTTATTACAAGATGATCGTTTTCATTATGTTACAGTTTTGCTAATTTTCACTTTTCCTCAGTTTGCTGAAGTCGTGATTCATCTCAAGTGAACAATAAACGACTGTTGGATCTCTGTGTCTGTTGTGTTCAGGGCGTGAAGGACCTGAAGAAGGAGAAGGTTCTGATGAGGAGGAAGTCGGAGCTTCCTCAGGATGTCTACACCATCAAAGCTCTGGAGGCTCATAAGCGAGCTGAGGAGTATCTGACAGCCAATCAGGAGGCTCTCTGACCAGGGGGGGCGGCGCCCTCCGAGCCCAACCCCGCCCCCCTCCAGTGCGTCTCTGCGGTGGATGCCATCGTGGGGAAGCTGGTCCCGGGTGGGATCAGGACGGAGCTGACGCCCCCTGGAGGCCGACACCTGTAGGACACGTAGAAGCTCCGCCCCTCCACGTGCTGTCAACGTGTCCCCGCTGTGATTGGACATCAGCTTCATGTTGCACTAACACCTCCACCTGCTTCACCTGCTGCACCTCCGCCGCATCAGCGCCGCCTTTTCCACCGCAGAGGCTCAAAACGCATGTTCTCGTTCCATCACAGAACGTCGAGGCATCGAACAGAAGGACAGACCATTTACAAAATGACTTAAACGTTGTCGTTGTCATAACTTCCCCAGATGACTCAGAATTTGTCATAAGTTACTGAATTAGTCGTACAGAGAGACGTTTGTGATTCTTTCGGGCTCCTGTGGTGGAAAACGCCGGCAGCTCCTCACTCTGTCCTGTTACAACTGAACGTAGCACAGGTGACTTCACGAAGGGCTCCGCCCCCTCCACCCGAGCCAACCAATCGCCTGCAGTCTGGAGACCAATGCAGCTTCACCAATAAAGATGATGACGAAGACGAGAAGATGCAGTGAATGTAGACGTCAGGAAGCTGCCCCGCTCTGACGCCGCCAGGTTTAGCCAATCAGAGAAGGCGTTCCCCGTCATGTGAATGTTTGTGCACCGAACGCTTACATGTTCTGTCGGTCACAGCGCGAATCCTTCCATCTGTTACGAGTGAACGTCATGAAATCAGATCACATACAGAGTAAAGTGAAACCTGCAGCAGCTCCTGAAAACCAGCGAAGAAGAGACGACGTTACCGTGACGAAGGTCAGACTCTGTGTTCGCTTCATTTCAGTTTTTATCGCTTTGCTTTTTTTCCGTCAGTGTTTTTGTTTTGATTTCATTTCTCATTAATTCTCTTTCTACATTTTTTAAAGTTTTATTTTCACTGAAGTTGTGATGACGGTTGGTTTAACTTGGAACCTTATTATTTTCATTTTTCCCAGTTTTGAGCCACAAGCAGAAATATTAGAAACAGAACGATGGAAGCTGAAGCTCAAACCTCAGATTTGTTCGTTAACAATACGACGGTCGTAAAAGTGGACGTTTAACAGGAATTAAAAACTTTGGTCACGTTTTGCACTAAGTTGCATTTTAAGTTCAAGAATCGAACATTTATTAACCGTAAACACGTCAGAATTCACAGACTCGGAGACTCAACACGTTTCTGTGCTTCGTTTAGTTTTTCCTCAAGAACCAAACATTTAATTTGCTGCGACCCGATGACCTCACCTGATGACCTCACCTGATGACCTCACCGCCTGAAGCGCATTTTGTTAATTCATTAGAAACTTGGCCGAGCTCAACTCGAGCATCAGAGCTGGACGTTCTGCCTGCAGGTGTTGTTCTGTTCCGTCCTGTCTAGTGACTCGTGGCCAGACCTGTTCTACATGGACCACGCCCCTCTGAAGGGACCACGCCCCTCTGAA